ACGGGAGCTCGCCGGAGAAGGCGACAGGCGGCTTGCGAGGAAGAAGTGGAGTTTGTGACACGTGAGGATTTAGGGTAAATCTCCCCATTGCCCGTGTTTACTAAATCCGGGATTCATGGTGAAATGAGAAGAAACGATATTTCATAGGATTCGAAGTTACTTTTTATTTTTAATTTTTGATAGGATTTAAGCTAAATTCTGCTACCGAACAGTCGAATTTTATACGCAATGATATGAGATTTGTGATCGAAGAATATATAAGAATTTCTATAAATTCCGTCAGAACGGCCTAATCCGCGCCGAAAATTTTGGGATATGATAAAGTATATTAATGCCTTGGGGTGTGCCCATGGAGTCGCAACGTGGCATGTTGGCGACATCCCAGCAGGTAGCTGCGCGATTTATTGCGCATCGGAGGAGTCATCATAATTGAATTTTCTTTCTCGAAATCAGTTGGAAGATTAGTACAGTTTTGTAGCTGCTGTTCATCTTTCATTTCTTTCAATCGGTGTATTGGCTAGGACTCGGTCTTGGAAGGTGGGAGCTTCTTTATTTTATTTTTTCTAAATAAAAATCTATAAAATATTTCTTTTTTTAATTTTCACGCTATTTATTTATGTTTTGATTTTTTCCTATTTAATCGATTTGCCCCATCTACATAATTTTGGTCGAATATTGTGTTTGGATGTCATCTAGATGCCTCATTTGTCGTTCATGTAGTCGGTAATCTATTTACTTCAACTAATTTCAATGATAGAGCTAAAAGATTGCAGTTTGACTTCCAAATGCTTTTGTATTCGTTATTTGATTTGAGAAGATTCTCTGCTACTTCCTTCCAAGAATGAATTTTTATACTCTTTAGCCTACGCCAATCTTTTGCTTTGTATGCACAAATGATTTTGTTTTTATTTTGTTTTAAATCCATTTTTCTCAACTTCTCAGGTCTTAATTAACAGGTTGGCAACTTAACCTTTGCTCCATGGCTTCAGCAGCGGTTCATGATGAATTGAAAGCAAGAGGTAATTTCTTTTACAGCTATGGAATTGTTCGATGATTACTTTTGGTTCATTGACAGTTGAAACATACAATTTTGGTATAGAAACTTAAGGCTTAAGGCTAATGAAGATTGTGATATCAGTACGCATATGGTTATTGATATGATTGATTTTATCTATGATTAACATTTAAGAGTAATTGTTTTGCTTATAGTTTGGCAAGATTATTAATAGCCCAGTTGTTCTCAGATGTTTGCATTGTCGGTGTTGCTCGCACACCCATCGGAGCGTTCCTTGGTTCGTTGTCATCTTTATCTGCAACAAAACTTGGATCGATTGTCATTGAGAGTAAGATGAAATATTAAATTTTTGCCTCTTTTGTTTTTGCTTTTTTTTGTTTAATGCATTTACAACATAGCAGACAATTCTTATGTATATACATTATCTCACACCTAAACTTTCACTCTCACACCTAAACTTTCACATTTACACACATAACACTCAAATATTTAATATCACATAAAAAATAGCACTATTACTATTTTTTAAATGTAAAATACACCTTTTAATTCATAGGTTTAAAGCACTAAAGTGCTATGTATTGTGTGATATGTAAATACATAAGAATTATGTGCTACATATGTAAATTTCCTTTTGTTTAAATTTTCATAGGTGCTTTAAGAAGGGCAAATGTTGATCCAACACTCGTACAAGAAGTTTACTTTGGGAATGTTTTGAGTGCAAACTTGGGGCAAGCTCCAGCAAGACAAGCTGCACTGGGAGCTGGAATACCAAACAATGTCGTCTGCACAACCATTAACAAAGTTTGTTCATCCGGAATGAAGGGTTGGACACAATTCCTCATTTATTTTAACAAATGCATGAATTATTTGAAAATTTTTAATCCATTAAAATTCTCTATTTGCAGCAACTATGATTGCAGCACAAAGTATTCAGTTGGGTATTAATGATATAGTTGTGAGTGGTGGCATGGAGAGCATGTCAAATGCCCCAAAGTATTTAGTAGATGCAAGGTTTGTTGCATTTATCTTTCATTTTTTGCCGCTAGAGTAGATATTTCTTGAAATTGATTCTTTGAACCATAAAGATAAAAGGAACTATGAATTTAGATCCAACAGCTCTTCTCCACCTGCAACCACCCCAGTTCAGCCAACCTAAGGAAAAAATAGAGTTCCGATGGGTCGATTTTGGCGGAGTCAAGAGTTCAACAACTTTCTTCCCCTCCATTTCTTTAAGAACTAGAAAATTCACCCTCCCAGAACATAATTTTGAACATCTTATTGAACAATAAGATAATTATGAGAGGAAGGGGCTTTAAATGGACCCTAAACCCTCAAAACAACAATCACAGAAGTACCATAAAATATATAAAAATATTAGACACCCGATTAACAAAAGGAGAAATACACGATACCCTCTTTATGAACTTTACCATGCCATGCTCTTTGGCTAAAGAAGATTTACCATCAGAAATCTTGAATGATTACTTGATTATAGTTGGGCGAAAGATTTGCTATATTGAATGTTGTGAAAATGTTTATATCATATGGGAAGTAAAATTTATAGGCATTCTCTCCAATGAGTTTGATGATCCAGAGGGATCTTTGGCTTCGAACTTAAATTTTGCAAAAAAAAAAAAAAGAAAAAGAAAGAAAACCTAGTGGAAAATTATTATTTCAAAGAATAAATACACAATCTCCTTCCTGATATGAAACAAATTTATGATATTTTGTTAGCCTGCTTTTGGCACTTTATGTTCATTATGATTATATCTCTTCATTTTTAATGAAGCTTCTTGATCTTGTCAACTCGTTTATTGGCATCCACATTAGATTTTGATAAAACAGACCTTTTGAATAAGAATCATGTTTTGTTTGGCTGATCTTTTGCTTTTATAAAAGTTTGTTTGAAAACAGCTTTAGAAAAAATAGTGTTATAGACTTGTTGTTGATAAAGTTGACTACTGTCAGGTAAATTCAATATTTCTTCTCTGTAGTAACTTATGCATGTGAGATTGCAGTTGGATTTGTGTGGGACAACATACTACATAAAACTCAAATTTTCATTGTATCTCCAACCAATTTGCTCTCGATAAATAATTTTCCTGCCTTTTTTTGGTGGCAAATTCATCTACTCACAATGTATGTTTAGTTCAAGTTTTTTCTCTGTGGTTCACCATTGTTGATAAAAATTTACATTTAAATATAATTTCTTATGATTTCTATTTTATTTGCTGCTTCTAATTGGGACTTTAAAACCTCATGGTACCTCATCTGAATGAAATGAAGCCCAACGGAATGACGATCAATTTTTGTAAATCTCTTTTGCACTAACTTTCGTCCAAACTTGATAAGAAATTTGTCTGTAGGATCATGATGCATTTTCATATCTTCCGCATGCAAACTCCGTGATAACTCATCACCATCTAACGCTGAAATATGCATACAGTGTTGATGCAGACAAATGCTCAACATTTTTAACAAAGCATTGGAATTTTCTTCCCCAGCTATTTTATGACAATGGCTCACCATTACTGAGCATTTATAATTTTAAATGATATAAATATTTCACAATAACAAGTAAATTTATTAATGTCAACTATAATTTCACTAGTTCAAATTAAAATGTTAAGAGTAAATTTAATATGCAATTTTAAGTGATTATTTACTATATTAATGCATAGTTATTGATTTTTAATGTTAATTTATAATTTAATATAAATAATTTTTAGTGATAACTTATACTAATTTTACTTATTTAAAATTTCACTTTTAGTTTTACTAATATTTACAAACATTTACTAATTTTGTAAAAAAGTTTATTAGTCACAAATATTTTATTTTATTAAATTTTTTGATCATTTTCTGAAATCAAGATTATCAAACATTATAAAATTTTACTAAGCCTAAAAGCTTCCACTTAAATTATTCACTAATTAATTAAATTAATATATAACTGTAAAAGTTATTTTCAAATTAACAAATCAAGTTTAACAATAAATAAATACTTTTATGATATATAAAATTAAAATATTCAATTTCACGAAAAAAATTCAGCCAATAATTGAAATTAAATAAAGTATTTGAAAAGCAAATTAAAATTGTGTTTTCAAGAAAGTACAATTTAAATTTGCATTACAAAAAAGGATTTTAGATTGCATTTATAATTCAATATAAATTTAACTTTTGTTAAGCTCTAACTTCTTATTTAAGATGATTTGATGCTCTTTTTTAAATTTGTTCTTTTATTGAATTGAAGTGGCTACTCAAGTATCTTTTGAAGGATTTTAAGTACTGATGAAACACCTCATAGTTTCATGTCAAGTGACAATTTTACATGTTTTTAAATACAAGTTATAATAGTATAAGTTTTTTTTTATTCCTTTTGGTTTTTTTATTAATTTTTTTAAAATGTATTGATTGATTGTAGGAAGGGATCTCGATTTGGAAATGATACCATTATTGATGGAATGCTTAAAGATGGACTATGGGATGTGTACAACGACTTTGCCATGGGCGTGTGTGCTGAACTATGTGCTGATCAACATTCAATACCAAGGGATGAGCAGGTATTTTATTTTATTTTAGATGTCTTATATTTTGCATTTAACTTGAATTTGTGTCACCTTCTATGAGATCACCAAGTTACACACCACCCCTGTCTAATTGAATACCTTGTGAGACATTATCTTTGTTTTTACACTTGGGTTTACCAACTCTCCTTGTAACATGTATTGCTCGTCATTTATTTTGTCTAGAAATTTTAGGCTCAACTCTTATAGTTGCACGTATAATAAAAATCAAATAAAAACTTAGATATTATATCTCAATATTGTCTCAACTATGCATCATCAATGCGTCACGTGAAGATCTAACAAAGCAATATAATTTTGTGATCTTGACCACAAGTATGCATTCCACCTTGGGAATTGGAATTGAACCTGCAAATGTCAAAATCATTATCCTCCATCATCATGAGCCTATAGCTGGTTGAAATTAGTACTTAGGGTTAAATTAGGGTAAATAGATTTTTGCTTGGAGAGTTGTCTTCGAGATTAAAATAGAAACGGAAGATTTAGTTGTTAGTTTTAGAGTGGTTCTTCTTTATTATACTTTTTCATTGTTGAGAAATCAACTATTTAAACTAAATCCTCATGATCTAAATCATTAACGTTATCCCATATCCCGATTTAATTGTGTTGGCTCTTTGAATCGTCATTATTTATTTGTTTACTTTTTTGTGTTGTTTGAGGTGTTAAAGAAATTTATTGCAAAATATTTTGAACAAGTTATATCCATGTGGTCTTTGGTATGCTCTTTCTTCATTACTAGTCTTTTGACATTAATTTTGTTAATTCACCTAGTGGGCATGTTTTTAATCGTTCATTATACATGGCCAAATCACTTAAAATTCTTTTAGTTACCTTATCTTTAGTATACTTTACTACTTTATTTTCTCTAATATGTTTTCATTTCTTATTTCAAATTTTTTTAGCTTGGCCACAAATTTCCTTAAAATTTTTATTTTCGCCACCCTCAACTTAGATCTCAATAAATTGTATTATAGCTTAAAATTCATGTCCATCAATATCGTCGACCTAATTGTGATTTTATAAAATTTACTTTTAAGCATCTATGATTTTTTTTTCCACACAAAATTCTAGAGACATCTTTCCATTTTAGCTATGTGGCCTTCAGAACTTATATTTTCATTTATATCTCCATTGTTATGTATAATTGTGTCAAGATTTTAAATGACATATGCTGACACACTTTTTTTTTTAGTGATATTAAATGATAATTAATAACATCATATCACTTAATTAAGTTATTTCATACATTCAACATTTGTTTTACCAATTCTAAGGCTTCTATTTCTAGACATTTTTCCTATTGTTACAATTTTGTTCTGACTTTACTGAAACTCAAATCATTTAGAATTATGTTATCTACCAAAAAACATACTATAAGATACTATGCTTTAACTATCCTTTGTAATATCCATAATCAATATAAAAGGATATGAACATAATACTGATCTTTGGTCAATGTTCTATCACACACAGCTTCAATAGCGACTTATCTTTAACACAATTTTTTTTCTTTAAGGCGTACCAAATCAATTATCATTGTACCTGGCTATATACATTTTCAATATCAATCAACAAACATTTGTTTTTTTATGTTTTTTACCTATATTAATTGCTTTACCATAAAAAATTGCTTTTTGGTAGATTTTTCTGACTTAAAACCAAATTAATTCTCTGAAATTGATGCAATATTTTTAAGCTCATGTTTTATTATTCGCTTCCATGGCTTTATTGTACAATTTTTTAAGTATGATTTTTCTATCCTAAACCCTAAACCCTAAACCCTAAATATGAAACAAGAAATCCAATGGTTCAAACGGTTTAAATGATGAAGTTGTATAGCCAAATTTACGGCCTTTTGAAGTTCAAAATTGTTTAAGAAAGTGGTAATGATGGTTGGGGAGTTAACTTTGACAAGAAATTTGACTTTGGTCAAATTGATAAAAAAATCAATAAGTTTAATGGTCCAATTATTTTTGACAAATTCAAACTCAATATAGTGATATGATTGGTAAATGTGCTCTACTCTTTAAACATCACTTTTTTTAACCAATATTTTTATTGCTTGGGCTTAAAACTTTACCTACATGCATCTTTTTTTAAATTCAACCCTATTTCCCTTTTGAAGCAATCTATAATATATTTCATTATATTATTATTTATGCTTTTCTAAATAATTTCGTCCCTAAATCCCTCTTCAGTAATTTCTTGATTTGACATTTTTATCCTTTATTAATGTCTTCTTTTTTAATTAAGTTTATTTTAACCTCACTTTTAATGCACTAACTTGATTAAAATATCAAGATTTTTATATTTTAACTACTGCATTTATGTCATTATTTTTTTCATTTGTATCAAACCTATTATATAAATCATCAAAAGATATAATTTTTGTTCTACTCTGCAACCTGTAAGTTGTATTTTTTTTTCATTTTTGAAAATGCATTTTTTTACTTAATAGTTTTTTTATCACTTTACTCCAATATTAGGTTTTCTTTTTATCAACTTGTGAACGATGCACATTCTCTTAAAAATTCAATAATATTACGCTTGATTGAACTGTGCATTTTATCCCATATTATATTTGGGTCAACTAAGGCATTTTGGTTTGGCTTTCTCGGTATTTTTTTTTTTCTTGAGATTTTAACACTTTCACACATTTTAAGTTTTTAGCCAATTTGCATGTAATTATATTTTTAATTGTTTTCTTTACGCTCTTAAGATATCCATAACTACTTACCTCATTTTAAGAGGTTATTTTTTCCTGGAATCATCTCATACTCTTTGCTAGACGATTTTTCTTTTCTTTAACAAATTTGTTTATGATTTAGTGACTCCAATTTTTTAAGTAAACATCATTTCTACGTATTTTTAAAATCATATGTTATTTATTTAAAGATCATAGATTATTGGGAAATCATTATACCTTTCCTATTGTCTCATTATACTTTTCCTACTGCCTTTCTATTGTCTATTCTATAAAGAGTATGAATCATCTAATAACCAATGTATAAGAAACTATATGCCCATTTAAATCACCTCTTATAAGTAACTTTTTCTTCAGCAAATATATGGTTCATCTATTTATTTCTAGTATTTATTTTTTATACAATTTTCTCATCTTATTTGAGTTAAATAAGTACAATTTTCTTAATAATTATCTAAGAAAAATTATCCTATCACTGATTTTGTCAATATCAATAATTTTATTTATTAATTATTCATTTGCTAATAGCCCAACCCGTTCCTATTGTTAGTCTTTTCTATATTTAATAGGTTATAAGCTTCCTTCGTATTTTTATATTTTCTTTTTTATTTTATTTTTTATAAACTTAAAATATTTATTCTTCTTATCAATCTCAACAAATTCTCCTTTTTAATATAATTTTTTCAAATTTTGTCTGATAAATCTAATATTAGGTTTAGACCTAGTCAACTTTGCTCATCTTTTTACCAATATCTGGTTAGTTCGAGGCATTGCTTTCAGAAAATTCTCTAATACTAACAAACATTTAAATTTGGATTCATTTCATTAGATTTGATGTATTTTTTTATGATTTTTTTGTCAATCTCACATTAATCTCCACTCAAAATTTTTTTGAGTTGTGCATAAAACCAATAATGACATTAATCAGAAAAACAAAATGCTATATAAAATAATAATACTAATAATGATAAGGATAATAATAGATATAGTAGTTACTTTAAAAATGATAATAGTATTACTTATAAGATTTTCAAGCATATTTTGTTCTTGACCACAGAAAAGTATTAGCCGATGAATTAAGGTATTACATGATTAATGGTCGTTTGAAGGCACCTACCAATCAATATAAATAAAGTTTAAGGCAATTGCAAATCAATTGCTAAAAATGATCTCTATCCTAATAACATCAACAATCTTGATGATACTCACCATGTGAGGACAAGTTGACTAGTGTATGAATGGAAAGCTTAAAGCTTGCTTGAGCGCCGAGGCAAACGACGCGGTAAAATATTTTTTATTATTTTTAAAGCATACAATTCTATATTGTGAGATGAAGGGCTAATAATCTAATGATGAGGTAGAGACCATGAGATAATAAATTAGATTAAATGGATATCAGTGAATATTATTGATCCTATACAATCAAATATAAATTTTGGTTTATATTTAAAAACATGTTTATTTAGTTTGATTTTTATGTTTTTATTTTGAGGCATTTACATACATACCACTCAATTCTGTGAATTTACATATCAAACGCCAAATTTTTTGCTTTTTTCATTTTTACCATCAAATCATTCATATCACATGAAAAATACCATCATTTTAATTTAAAAAAAAATGAAATACACGTTTCCATGCATAAGCAAGTTGGTATGTATGTAAAATTGAAGTTTAGATGCTTGATATGTATATACATAAGAATTAAGTGGTATGTTTGTAAAACTTTTATTAAAAAAAAAACAAATAATGAAAACACCTCAAATTATTTCAAGTGTTTTTAAAAGCAACTATCACAATCAAACAACTTATAGAAAGTAATTTTACATTTCAATCATAAATTTGTGGGCTAGCCTAACAGATTTTGTCTTTCGCTTTTGAAGTCAGTAGAAATAATATCTGGCTTTTTAAATATTTTTTCGTTTTGCATGCAATTCTCCTTCATCCAAGTGTTTTTGTGCTACACATGATTGTTATTGAAAATGTTAAAAATATCAAAATTGTTTCCGGATTCTTTTTAGGCAGGCCATTTTAGTCCAACACTCTTTTGGTGGGGATTAAAATAGTCCTTTATGGAGTTTATTTCAGCCTATATTAGAAGAGTCCAGGGACTAATTTGACACATTTATAGATTGTGGACTAAAATGATCTCATATAATCGTCAGTGGCTGTTTTAACACTTTCTATGTATTGTTCTTCAAACAAAAGTGCAAGGTGCATTCTATGGTTTGATCTCACAAAAAATGTTTATATATAGGATGCTTATGCCATTCAGAGTAATGAGAGAGGAATATCTGCTTCTAAAGGAGGCGCTTTTTCCTGGGAAATAACACCGGTAGGGCTTGTCTAACCCCATGCTAAATGCAAGGAAAGTGTGAAGGCATTTGGAGTTTTGATTATTTATTACTTCATGTGATTCTGCAGGTTGAAGTTTCAGCGGGTAGAGGGAAGCCTTCTGTCATTGTGGATAGAGATGAGAGCCTCGACAAAGTAATCTTTTCAAAGACCTCAAGTTATTTGTCAAATTACATGATTCATGTTATCTTGGGGTCATTTGGGATCCTTTTGTCTATTATTTTCTATCTTTTATATTCATTTTGCTTTGTTTATGTTTTGATTTAAAACAAAACTTGTTTGACATATTTGATTAAGATATACTTGTTTTTAAAACACTCAAGACATTTAAAAGTTATTTTAAGTGTTTTAAAAACATGTTAATTTTCTTTTAGAGGCAAAAAATAAAAATATGTAAAGAAATACACTAAACAAAAATGTTAAAAAAAAACAAAAATAAAAACAGAAAAGACAATTGATTCCAAACAAGCCCTTAATTCATGATTTGTTGGTGATTTTCATGCCGTAGCTTGTTCTTTGATACAAAAATCATATTTGAGGTATCTCATCTTTTTTTTAGGTGATGTCATTGTCATCGTTGTTAAACTAATATGTTGAGGTTCTAAAAAGCTTGAAATTTCTATAGTCAAATTTGATTCCCCACTGTCGGCTTAGGAGAGGTTTATTCTGTTTGGGCTTAATTAGCTAAATGATCAACCTTCTATTTTCTTGTTTGGTAATGCGTACAAGCTTTTTCTATACTCCTGACTTTTTGCTCAAATAATTTTAAGTTTAAACTCTTTGCAATTTAAAAATTGCATTTCTACTTTATGTTGATTCATTGTGAAAGCTTAGGATATGCTGTCAAAACATTTCAAACATATTGATTTTGGCAATTGCTTAGTTACTTGTGAAATTATTTGTGTTTATTATTTTTATGGTTCTTTATCCCCCCTTAAGAATTGCTTTTGGTATCTCGGCCTTTTTATTCTCTAAAGATCTTTAGATAGAATTTCTTTGGGAAAAGTTTCAATCCTTCCAACTCTTTGTAGTCCTAGTGTCTATAAAAGTGTCAATTTAGTCCCCGGATTAATACTATTTTAGCTCATATTAAAAGAGTATGGGGATTAATTTGAAACTTTTATAGACTTCAACTAAAATGACACCGTGTAAATAGTTAGGGAACTATTTTGACACTTTAGTCATTTTCTTTGCTTGCTTAGAACTCCTGTAGCTTGAAAATTTTATGTTTTTTTATACTCTTTTTTTCTTCAAACATAACTTTCGTAGATCGGATGGTTTTCCATGAAAAAAATGTCATGCTTCTGTTGTTCAAACTGTAAAAAAATAAAATCTATGCATTATTCATGCTTTTCTGCTTCTAGAAATTGCTAGATTATGTGCTACTGATTTTGATATTCTCTGATTGCTAGTTTGATCCTATCAAACTAAGAAAGCTTCGGCCCAGCTTTAAGGAGAATGATGGCACTGTAACTGCTGGAAATGCATCTAGTATAAGGTTTGGCTATTACCATTGCTGTTCTCATTTCTGTTGTTTTCCCTAAAAGTTAATTTATTCAAAGTGAAATTTGCATACATACCCCACAATTCTCATGCATCTACATATCTGACACCTGAAGTTTGATATTTGCATTTATAACACTTCGCATTAAAAATCTACTCATGAAAAGATGTATTTCACTTTTAAAAGGTTAGTAATAATGGTGTTTTTGATGTGATGTCAAAGATTTGAGTGTTATGCAGATTTGAGGTTATGCATGTAAATATGAAAGTTTGGGTGTTAGATATGTAAATGTCCCTAATTCAATATGGTTGAATTTTTCTTTATCTCTTAACTTTTTCAGCTTCTTTCAATTGGCATAGGATTGATTTTTAGTTTGATGCCTTTTTATTTCAACTTTAGCTTATGTGTGAGTGCCCACAGAAAAGCTCATGGCTTGAATTTAACTTAACATTAATAAAAGAGTGAAATGAATTATCACCAATCTAAAACTTATTTGGCCTTTTGGGATCACTTTTAATTTTTGTTTTTTTATTTTTAATTTTTCTTTTGTTTGGTATGTTATAACATGATCAGTTGTTTTTAAAACACTCCTAGTTGTTTCGAGTATTCTTAAAAATAAGCTATTGCAAAAAACAAAATTAATCCCAAACAAGAGCTAAGCTTTTGTTTTGGATTCCTTAATTTTCTATTGTTTTTTGCTTTGCATGGTCTTTATTATTATTTGAAAATGAAACATGTTTGATTTTTATTGTTTACTTACTTTAACAACTGTAAAAAATAGACAAAATAATCATTGGTAAAACAATGAACAACTCAATATAGATAATTTGGAAGTTCGGTTTTTGATATTTAATTTATTATATAATTTTTTGAATATCTAATTTTGTGAATAGATTTTCAAATTATAAACTATTTTTGTAAAATGAAATCACTTTATGGAGCTATTTTTAGTATATTATTATTATGATTAGTTATATAAGTGGCTGAGCATAATAATTTACATTTTTTAATGAAGACTTTGAAAAGTTGCTGCATCCTAAAATAATATTCCTCATTTTATTTTGATTTAAATTATCATAACCTGATACTCCTCTTGCTAGTTACCTATCTTAAGTCATTCATTTGAGTGGGTCCGATTTCTGATAGAGCAGGAACAAGAGAACCTGTTTTAGAAAATTACAATAACCTAAAATATGTTTTCATCATTTAAAAACAATTCAAATCAAATAACATAAATAATTTAAGTCTGGGACAAGGATGGTTTAAGGTCAGAGTTTCTAATACAACCTAAGATGATTCTCAAAGCGAAAATAAAAGAACAATATGCTGTTATTAATTCATAATTTTAGCAAAAACTTATCACTTTTAACATCTGGACAAGCAACATGCTTTATATACAACAAAAGATAATTTAATAATTGCCAAAAAATTAAAATTCCGTAAGAAAACAATGCCAATAATAAAATTCAGCATCTAATCAAGCTCTCACTTTAAATTAAAACTCAAAACATATCTCACTTTACAAAATTTTAGTTATACTTGTATAAACAGTGACTAAAAACTCGTGATCAAGAAAAAAGAAATGCTGAAAAGGGAAACTAGCGGCGGAGTAATTTCTGGAAGTAGTTGTCTACATTTTTAAAGAATGCCCATCTAAGACAAAACAGCAACTAAATAGTTTAAAAATGGAAGAACAGGGGTAGAAATTATTTCATTGTTCTGGTCAAGCATCACATGAGCACCTAGAGTTTTTATCTAGAAGATGTTTTCCCCTTCTATGAAGCATTTCCAAGAATACACATCCAATTAGCACTCGCATAAATGGCAGAACATTGAAATTTTATATTAATATTTTGTTAATTTTACCTACCTCAGTTTCTTAATATGGTATACACAGGACCCATTATAAGAATTTATAATAAATTTATAGAAAACTACTTATAATCATAAAATTTCATTACATCCAACATAAATTCCAATAGCGAAGAGCCTTACTACATTACTATGTCATATTGATCACAGCTTACATGATTTCCATTTTTTTTAACTTTACTTTGTTCCCTTATTGCATACTGTTTTGTTTGCATTTGTGAAATCCCTCAAGTAGATGAGTAAGAGCTTCGGCTGTACAACATTAAAATTTAGGGATAATTACTTCAAAGCTCCCAAAACATTGTAATTTACAAACTAGCATCTAAGTGGTTTTTTTGGAACTTCCAAACCGATGCATTTACACGTGCCATGATGAAGTCATTGTGAATTTTATAAAAATGGAAAACATGGGCTGGGGTTTTATCATGAATTTCGATATTTGAGCGAGAATTTGAAAAATGGATGAATGAGGGTGCGATTTGTAAATAGCAATGTATTACTTTTGTTATTTGTTACTCAGAACTATCATTATGATCCAAGCATAAGGTCAATCTGAAGTTTTTTTTTCCTCAATTATTATTATTATTTTTTTTATCAACAGTGATGGTGCTGCGGCCTTGGTATTAGTTAGTGGAGCGAAGGCCAAAGAGCTAGGACTGCAAGTCATAGCAAAAATCAGAGGATATGCAGATGCTGCTCAGGTTTGCCTTTTGCAAGCAGTTGCATTTTGAATGAGTAAAGTGTGAAAATAGTTTTGTAACTGTTTACATGGTGCCATTTTAGTCCCAGAGTCTATAAAACTGTCGATTAGTTCCGAGACTTTAAATTGGGGCTAAACTTGTCCCAATAGTCCTCCATTGGTAAAATTTTAGCCAATTTTAAAAGAGTTTATAGGAGACTAAATTGAGATTCTTGTATATTCTGGGACTAAAATGACCCACCCCTTGCAAAAAAATCAGGGGATTATTTTTACACTTTTTTCTTTTCTGAGTAAATGCTTTTGTGGTTGATTAAGCACACCTATTAATTTTAAAAATCATTGACCTCCTTGGCATAAGATCTGCTCATTAGATAAGTTCTTCATTGTCTACAACTAAAATTTTCATAAAATAATTTTTTTCCCATTTTCTATAGACATTAATGTACTTAGTGTTAAATCACATTAATTTTATTTGTGGCTAATTGATGAACATTCCTACTATTATGGCAGTCTTTACTGAAAAATTTTGGCTTCACTATCTTTTTATGTTATTCTTTCAGTTTTACTTTACATCTAAAGAATTATCAAGGTAGTCATTTGACTTTTTGCAGGCAGTTATTTTAGCTTCAAAGTCTATAAAAGTGCCAATTTAGTCCCCTGACACTTTAATATAATCAGCCTCAATTGAAAGAATCGGAGGACTAATTTGACACTTTTATAGACTCTGGAGCTAAAATTGCCGCATGTAAACATTCAAAGGACTATTTTGGCACTTTACTCTTTACATTTATATAATGATATCTTTCATTTTAACATTATTTCTTCCATTCATAAATGCTTAGTTCTCTCTTTCAGGCACCAGAAGCACCAGAACTTTTTACAAGAACTTTTTACAACAGCACCAGCACTTGCAATACCGAAAGCTATTTCCAATGCTGGTTTGGAGGCTTCTCAAATTGATTTTTATGAAATAAATGAAGCTTTTTCTGTATGTCGATGCTCTCATACTTTTAAGATATTTAAAATCTCATCTTGGAATAAATTTTTAATTGTTTTTAATTTATATTTTCCTTGCGATAGGTTGTTGCTGTGGCCAATCAGAAGCTCCTTAAACTTCCTTCTGTAAGTTTTCAGACCCCTGTGTTGAGTGTTGCAACTTGGCTTTGTTGAAACTGCTGTTTTTAATGCCATTTTTTTGGGAGATTTACATACATGCCACTCAATACCTAGGTATTTACATATCTAACACAAACATCAATTTTTATATACGTGCCACCTTAAACGGCATGTTTCTTTTTCTAAAAGTTGATGTGATATGAAATATTGGGGTGGTATAAATATAAAAAGCAAAATTTAGGTGTTAGATATGTAAATATATAGGAATTGATTGGTATGTATGTAAATACACCTTTTTTTATTGCTTATTTACATCACTTCAAACTGTGGCTTTCTGCATTCCTTCTTTGCTTATGCCAGCACTGAAGACTAATAGCTTTAGGTTTATAGCTAAATTCAATGATATTGCAAATATTTCAGTTATATTATTTGGTCGTGATTATGGGGGCAATAGTGTGGTTATTGATAGGCAAGTTGAACGTGGCATATGAAAGAATATTAACATCGACGTGTGACGAAAGCTTGGAGGATATATTACCATATGGTTTTGCATTTACACACATTTCTTGTAGATTTACATTTCTCACTCCTAAACTGTCATGTTTACACATAACACCTAACTATTAGATATATTAGAGAGATGGTGTGAGTAAGATCTATTGAATATGAGATAGTGGCAATGAAAATTGATTTCAATGATTTGAACATTTTGAAGATGGGTATTATATGCATCAATTAGACATATTAAATTAATGTTCTAAAACCTATAAAGCACGGGAAGTTGAACATATTGATGCGCCATTAATTGACATAACATATTTATCAACAATATACCAACATTGACATTGATTATTAGGAACTATGTCAATATAATTATTATATTGTCCTCACAAATGACAAAATAAGAAATTATACTTGTAAATAATAAACTGACTATAGTCATTAATTCCCACAGTCGACCTTAATGTGGAATATACAAATCTTCATTTTTGTGTTAGACATGAACATGTAAGTTCTTTTGAAGTGTTCATGCTTTGTTGATTGGATGATTATATAGAAAAGAGACATTTACATACATACCACCCAATTCTTATGTATTTAAATATCTAGCACCCATACTTTACCTTTTACATTTTATACCACCCAAATCTTTCATATCACATCACATATACTATCATTTTAACTTATTGAAAAGTTAAATGTGCCTTTTTATGCATATACATAAAGTGGAATGTTTGTAAAAATTGAAGTTTAGGTGTTAGATGTGTAAACACAAGAATTCAGTGGCATGTATGTAATTCTTCTTACTGAGCATAAATGGATCTAGAGTGAAGATTCGCGAAATTGACACTTAACGATGACGATTCGGTATTTTGGTTGCGTCTTTTTGCAGGAAAAGCTGAATGTCCATGGCGGAGCGGTATCTCTTGGACACCCCCTGGGGTGCAGCGGAGCTCGCATTCTTGTTACATTATTAGGGGTATCTTCCACACTTTGTTCTCACTTTATAACCTTTAAAGTCTTTCTTTTTGATAATTCAAGCATTAAATGCATTCCTAAACATTAAAAATTAGAGAAATTTACATGCATACGCACCCCATACCTATGTATTTACATATCTAGCACCCAAAAGTTTGATATTTACACTTATAATTTTTTGGTGTCATAAACTGTGTTGACAATGTGTATTTTACTTCTAAAAAAATAGTAATGATGGTATTTTTTATGTGATTTTAAAGATTTGAGCGGTTTGCATGTAACGATGAATGTGAAAGTGTTGAATATGTAAATAAATACATAATAATTATGTGATATTTATGTAAATTCCCCTAAAAGTCAAGCAACCTTGTGTATTGATGGTGAATTTCATTTTTTTTTTATTTCTCTTTTGAAAAATTATATTATTAAATGTGTTTTTTTCTTTTTTTAGGCTCTCAGATATAGAAATGGGAAATATGGAGCTGCTGGGGTTTGCAATGGTGGTGGGGGAGCATCTGCTCTTGTATTAGAGCTCATGTAAGGAATTCTGAATTTTTGGTGAGGCTTTCTTTCCTGTTTCAGTCTCCCTTACCAAATAAGGTTTTATCAAACCACCAGTTGTTAGGTGACTTTGTGGTGTCATTTAATCTCAATGGCAACATCTTGGACTTGTTTTCTGAGCAATTTTAATAAAACACCTCTTTTTTTTTTCACAAAATGTTGAAGTTTGCTTAAATTTGAAGTCACTGAGTTCTTTTCAGCATTTTAAATAAAATCTTCTCTCCTGTGCGACTGCATTGCCATTCTGTATCATTATTGGTGGCCGCTTGTTGAACCGTGTCCGCCTGTCTAGTCTATTAGCTTGAGTGGGGTAACGATCATCATGCCAGGGCAGGCCCACAAGCAACACACGGACCTGACCGGCTTGTTGGCCGTTCATTGGCCCGCGCTTTGTATGGACGGGCTTTGGTGGGGCCTGCATGAAGCATATGGTCAAATGCTCAACCATCACGACCGATCGCAAGTAGGGGTATAAATGAGCCGAGCTTGAGTGATCCTAGTGATTTTTCATGTTCGACTCATTCGTAATAAGCTCATGTTCACTCAATTCAAATTCGTTTGTTTCTTTCAGCTCGTGTTAAGCTCGAAATTAGCTCGAATGATTTACGAAATTAAGTAATTAACTTTTTTTTTAATAAATACAACATAAAAATCAATATAAACAAGTTTTAATTAGTTTGAGCTAAAGATGATGAGCTGAACACGATCGAATAAAACTTTTGTTGTTCGAATTGTTTATAAATCGAGTTAGAAAGAATTGTTCATAACGAATCGAACACAAGCTATTTAGCAAACCAAACAAGAACTACAAGAACTATTAACGAACGATGAGCCTTTTGACAGCCCTACCCGTGTGTGTTGATCGAGCATTTGCCGTCTTTTATCGTTCAAAGTGACCCTTGTTTTTGAGGGGAATGTTATTATTGGTATTTGCAGGCCTCAAGCAGCTGCTAAGCGCTCATTGCTATGAAAAAACAAATGTGGATGAAATTATCTCACATAGATTGAATGACACATTCAATGAGTTGAGAGAACTCTTCTGACCAGTTCCCCAAATCTGGCTGTGGTTTGTTTGAGATATTGAGATGTTAGTTTTATTCTGCTTTGGAGTCTACAAACTGAAGAGAACACTTCTTGGATTTTATGTTTTGTTCACTGTTCTTTTCTTAGATTTGCAAATTTTATCACCCTTTGGTATTTATATGGAATATTTATGAGATGAGGACTTTTGTGTGCTATGAGGAGGGTGTAAATGAATGGGTTGAGATTTTTGTTCAATTTGATTCAATAACTGTTGAGTTGAATCTAATGAGTTTAAAAGTTTGTGACAAATATGATGAATTTTTTGATTGATGGCTTAGTTGATTTTTATTTTGCCTTTATGAAATAAATTGATTCAAGGGACAAAATAATGTCTGATTATTTGCATGCAGCCATTTTAGTCTTATAGTTTATAGAAGAAACAAATAGTTTTTTTTGACTATTTTAAAATTGAGCTTTGATAGTTCTTTGCGGACGATTTCAATCCTAACATGAAAATCTATTGCTACAATTTTTTTTTTCCCAATCAAATGCAAATTTTTTTTTTAAAAAATACTATTAAAAGAATATATTATATTAGTAATTTAATAAACCAAAGTTCACCTTGGTATTTCTTATTTTTAACATCTCTCACATATTTAACTTTTATTTTTGATTTTTGAGAAAACATGATAATCATTTTTTTTTTTAAATATTTATCATTCTATTTGAAATAATAAAATATTAAATTTGTGTTATAAATATTTTACTAAGATAAGAAAATGGTAATTTGTATTTTTCTTTTTATTTCTATTCCAGAGTTCTTATGTGTTCTCACACCCTTGCTTAAGAGCACATACAAGAGAAGGAAAATGCCCGCAATTAGCTACTTCATTTTCATTTATGAACTGAATAATAATAAAAGTAATAAAAATACAAGTCCTACCGAGATAAAAACAAGATTTAGAACCTAAGAAAAAATAATAGTAATAATTTGAACGAACAAAATGCAAACAAGTACTAGACTCAAATCTTGAAAATCATGTCCAAATACCATTATTTTAGCTTTTTAGAAGTGAGAAATACATTTTTATGCATACGTTTAAAACACCAAAAATGCTATGCATGTAAGTATGAAAGTTCAAGGGTGAGATATGTAAATACAAAAGAATTGTGTGCTAGGTATGTAAATTTCCTAAATGTATTTACATATCTCACATCTAAATTTCAATTTTTACATATATGTCCCGTTACCTATGCATAAAAAGTTGTATTTCACATTTTAAAATTAAAACAGTGGTATTTTTTTTATGTGATATGAATGATTTGGTTGGTAGAAATGTAAAAATCAAAAGTATAGGTGTTAGACATGTAAATATTTATGTGAAGAATTAACATGATAGTTGCATACTAAAACTTTGTAAAAATTTCACTGGTTGACATGTTTTTCAAGAAAAACCTTGGCCAGGTTGCTGAAACTAACACTAACAGCTTCTGCTGCAGCATATCTCCTCATGATTTCAACTACTTCTGGCTTCAATATCTCTTCCTTGGTTTGTGAATTGCAGAGGTAATACAGTGCTCCTATGCCATAATTCACCTGCAATCAAAAGCTGCATTAAATTGTATACAAAAAAGAGGGAACATTTACATAAATACCACCCAAAACTTTCATATCACATCAATAATACGAACATTTTAACTTCTAAAAAGTGAAATGCGCACGCATAGGTAAGATGTCATGTATGTAAAAATTGAGGTTTAGGTGTTAACGTATATAAATACACAGGAATTGAATGATATATATGTAAATCTTTTGTAAAAATGGAAAAAAAAAAAGAGGAAGAAGCAATAAAATAGACGGTGCAAGGTTTCTAATTATAAAAAGGAATATTTACATGCAGATCGCTCAATTCTTATGTATTTACACATCTAACACTGAAAATTCAATTTTGACATATACATTCACTTTACCTATTCATCAAAAGATGTATTTCACTTTTTAAAAGTTAAAATAGTGATATTTTTTAAATGAGGTGAAAGATTTAGGCGGTATAAATGTAAAAAACTGAAACTTTGCTATTAGACATGTAAGGAATTGGAAAGATGTATTTCCCTTTTTAAAAGTTAAAATAGTGATAATTTTTAAATGAGGTGAAAGATTTAGGCGGAATAAATGTAAAAAAACTTAAATTTTGCTATTAGACATGTAAGGAATTGGGTGGTATGCATGTAAATGTCCCTTATAAAAACAGTGCCAGGACAAGTTGAGCTGTTCTTGTCTACTAAATTCAAAATTTCTATCTATTTAACATTCAAATTTTATAAAATATGTGATTGTTTTATCTAACACTTTCTCATTTGAGTAAAACAGAAGCTAATATTGATAGATTTTTTTTTCTTTCTGCCCCTCCTCGTATGAAGAATGTAAAATCTTTTATCCACTATAGAATCTAAGGATCTGTTTGGGGCAGTTGCAGCTTATTGAATAATCTGCTGATAAACTGATTAAAAATAATCTGTCGATAAGCTAGGTGTGGTGACTATTACAAAATTTTATTTTTTTTTAAAAGCCGAACTGCGATTAAAAAGCTACCACCGCACCTAGATATATGCAGTGTGTAAACATTGTTTTCAGCATTTTGAAAACACACAAGCTGTCAAAACGTAGTTAACCCAAACAGGCTAGATGCGTTTTCAAAACGTCACCGCACCAAATAAACTGTCTCAAACGGACCCTAGCACTCTGAAATCTCTCGACAGAAAAACTGATATACTATATTCTTTAATTTCTTAATGATATTGGCATACAACAAAAAGGGAAATTTACATACATAACACACAATTCTTATGTATTTACACATCTAACACCCAAAGTCTGATATTTACACATAACACCTCGGTGTCATAAACCTATGCATGAAAATATGTATTTCACTTTTAAAAAGATAGTAACGATGGCATATTTTATGCAATGTTAAGGAATTGAGTGGTATGCATGTAAATATGAATATTCCGTTGTTAGGTACACAACGACATGAGAATTGTGTGGTATATGTGTAAATGCCCCCCAAAAAAAATTTCAGTTCTTCTATGTCTCAAGTCAAGTGGCTTACTGTGTTTCTTACAGGGCTGGTTAAGCACTGTATAACCAAAGGAATCCCACCACACTGAACTATAATGGCAGCATTTGCAGGATCTGCAGGCAGTAGAAACCAGTGTAGAGCAAGTAGTACAGTTAATAAATTGCAATTAATCAATTTTTAAGGAAGTAAGTGGTGGCGCAGCTGCAAAACAGAGAAATGAGGAAGCAGGGAATGGAGAATCAGAGCTATACTTCCATAATCATTAACAAGAAAAAAGGTACCTACCTGAACGGTTACAGCAAATATACATGTATAGGTGCCTCTACTATCAGCACTAGCGTACATACGTATAATAAGAATAAAGCTAAACACAAATAAAAGTCTAATATTCAGTATTAATTAGTAATAAAATAATAGTAAGGAAGTAGCAGCTGCTGCTTATAAGAAGATTCACTGCATTAGTTCCCCTCTGATTCAGAAGAACTCGACTCGAGTTCAGTGATTTGCACACATCCATCATCCGGTGGGTGATACTTATATAAATCAGCTACATTGTGGAAGAGATGTTGAAATCAAGAGGAAGTGTCACCACATACACATTATCGTTAATCTTTGTTTCAATAAGAAATGGCCAAAATTTTTCGTGGTTTTAGCTTTAGAGTATGTGCCTATAGGGAATCATTCCTTACGGAGTTGAATCATCACTAAATCCCCAACATTAAAAACCTTTCTTCTGCGATGTTCATCCACTTGTTGCTTGTACTTCACATTGACCTCGATAATTTTATGTTTCACGTTGCATAACATTTCATCAAAGTCACTCGCCATTTTAATCGCTTCAAAACTTTTCTGTTTGGGAATTACAGCGATATCAATTGTATGATTTGGTTCTTTAGTATACACAATACTGAAGGGCGTCTTTCCTATAGTTATATTTGTCGCAGCATCATAAGCATATTTAGCTTGACCCAAGACATCGTCCCATTGCTTTAGAAGCTCGCCTGCAAACATTGAAGTGTATTACCTAACGAATGGTTTACAACTTCAGTTTGTCCGTCAAATTTAGGAAGATAGACTGAACTAAATTTAGGTTCAGTTTGTAGTCTTTTCCACAATTCACGCCATAAAAACTAAGAAATTTGACATCACGATCTGAAGTGATGCTCCTTGGAATGCCATGTAGACAAACTATTTCCTTAAAGAAAATTTTGCGATGTTGATTACACAAATGACTTCTTGCAGACGATAAAATGGGCCATTTTTGATAAACGGCCAACCACCACCACAACAGAATCAAGACCACGTTTAGTTTTTGGAAGACCTAAAACAAAGTTTAAACTAAGATCTTCCCAAATTGAATCTAGAACCGGTAATGGAGTATACAGGCCAGTGTTCTAAGTGACACCCTTAAAGGGAAGACAAACTTGGCACTTCTCAACAAAGCAACCAACATCTCGACAAAGTCGGCGCCAACAGAATCTAGCTTTGAAGAAGAGCTAGCGCCTTGTCTCTTCTCACATGAGCGGCTTACCCTCCACTACGCAATGCTTGAATGATTTGATGCCGGAGGGATGTATTTGGAATACAAGGTTGGTTGCCTTTGAAGAGGAGGAATCCTCGTTAAATGGAATAATCACCAGCTATCCTATGGTTAATGCATTGTGACCATGGAATTGAAATCCTAATCATCCGCATACTGCTATCAAAGTGTTTACATGCCTGTGATTAGTGATTGGATAACAATTAGAAAACTCGAACTTCGGCTCAGAGCGTCTGCAACCCGATTGCTATGGCCGGATATGTGTTTTAGTATAAAACTAAACTTCTAGATAAATACAATCCATCTCAGTGCATCTGATTTAGATTCTTTTGAGTTTGTAAAAATTATAATGATTAATGGTTGCTAAAAAGTATAAACTCATGTGAAATTAAATAATGCTCCCATTGTTTGAGTGCCTGAACCACAACATACAATTCTTGCTCATATGTAGACCACTTCTGTCGCGGATTCTCACTGAAAAATTCGATAGAACGATTTTCTTGAGATAGAACTGCTCCTATCACTATAGCAGAAGCATCTATTTCCACTTGGAAAGGTTTATCAAAGTTTAGCATCGCTAGAACTAGCGTAGAACTTGAGTGTTGTTTAACGATAGCACAACTGGACTGTTGCTCATCACCCTAGACAGATAATTTATGCTTCAAACAGTCTTGTAATCAGAGCCACAATGACACTGAAATTTCAAATGAATATGTGATAGTAATTAGCGAGTCCATGAAAGCTTCGTACTTCATTAAAATTTGTTGTCATGGACCATGAATTGATAGCCTCCACCTTTCTCGGATAAGTATTAACGCTCTGTTTAGACAAAGCAAAACTCAAAAGCTGCACCACTTCTATCGCAAATTCGCTTGGGAAGATTCAGAAAAAGCTTGTGATCACATTAAAATCAATTTTAAGTGGTGTAAATGAGCATCCAAAGAAGGGCTATATACATGAATATCATCAAGATATACCACACAAAAATATCCAAGTAAAGGTTTAAGTACCTCATGCATCAATCTAATGAATGTGTTTGGTGCATTACATAGGCCAAATGGCATGACTCGCCATTCATATAGGCATTCTCAGGCTTTGAATGCAGTTTTCCATTCATCTCCTTCACGAATTCTAATTTGATGATAACCACTATGAAGATCTAATATTGAAAAATAATTGGCTCCACCCTATCTATTGAGAAGCTCATCTAGTAGCGGTATGGGAAAACAGAACTTCACTGTAATTTTGTTAATTGGTCTGCTATCAATACACATTCGCCATGAACCATTTTTTTTTGGAATGATGAAAGTCGGGACAACACAATGACTAAGACTATGCCAAATGAATTGTTTTCACAGCAAGTCTTCAACGATCTCTTGTAAGAATTGACGTTCCTTTGGATTCATCTATAGTGAGGTTGATTAGGTACTGTAGATCCTAGAAAAAAATCTATTTGATGTTGAATGAAGCGTAGAGGAGGGAGTTGGTTAGGCAAGTCAGCCAGCCACATTTCTGTGAATTGACATAGTAATTTTGTCACTTTTTCTGGCATTTTCGCATTGCGGCTGTTTGATTCAGCCACCAGAATAGCAAATATGCAATTCTCACTTTTATAAGCTGCTAGTAATTGGAAGCAATATAAGCTTAATTTTTTTGGGTGCTTGCTTTTTCCATAGGATGTGTAGACAGTAGTCTAATTTTTTTTTTCATTCCAGTCAATGGAATACGCATTGGCTCGTCAATCATGCAAAGCTCCCACATCGAATTGCCATGGACTTCCCAAAATGAGATGCATAAATCCATTTCTAAAACATCACATAAAACTTCGCAAATAAAATTCTTTCCAATGGAAAAATTTACCTTGCACTTGTCCGTCACAAGAACCTCAACCCCCTTTTTAATCCAACCGATCATGTAAGGGTCTGGATGTTTAAATGTTTTAAGTTCGAGTGTTTTGACTACCTTAGCCACAATGATATTTTCAGTGCATTTGTTATCTACCAACAACTCACATACTTTACCATTAATGGTACGAGTGCGAAAGATTGCATTTCTTTAGGATTTCACAGGGTGTTAAAGCGATAAAAAATTTTCTCTACGCATGAAAGAGATTCCCCATCATCTCTAGGCACATCTTCACATTCCTCATTGGAGAATGGAAATTTACGTGACGACTCTTCAATGGTTTCTCCCTCAACCAATTGCATTTATCTCCGATTACGACATTCAATGGTATGGTGCCCAGGTTGAAGTTATCAAAACCGCTTAGATGGTCCAGGTTTATTGCATATAGTTAGGATTATGGGTTTGTTTGATAGCAGCTTTCGGTTCATTAGATCCTGAGAGGTTGTTAGTGTTTCGTGACTGAAGGGGGCTCGACTTCACAATGTTAGATCCTGTCTTCGTTGTTTCAACCAGTAGTTCACTAAAATTCCTTCTCAGTGCCGAAGATTTGTTTGAACAATTGAGTTGTAGCTCGGCCTTATACGCTAAATTAATAGCTTTAAATAATGACTATATCAAATTTATTTCTAGGTTGTCCTGCATGGCATCTTTAAGCCCTCCCGCATATCGAGCAACCATTTGTTATTTTGATTCATTTAAATTGCTTTGAGCACTCAATCTATAGAATTCCTCCGTGTAGTTGCTGACTGCTCGGTTTCCTTGGACACAACGCTGATATTGCAACATTTGTTCTTAATCAAATGGAAGAAAGTGGCTGCAGAGAAGCTGTTTCATCCTCACCCAGTTTTTCACATATCCTTTGCCTTCATGTCTCCTGGATTGCATCAGTTGTTGCCACCAAGCTCCAGCACCGCCCTTGAGTTTGCAAGCCACATACCTGACCTATTTTTCTGGAGGAATATCCATATAATCGAAAAAAGCCTCAACTGATTGTTCCCAGTTGAGATAGTCTTCAATGTGAAGGAGACCATCAAAAAAGGGTAAATCGATTTTTACCTTGAAGTCGCCGTAATCAGATGGAAAAAAGTGGACGTGAAGAAAATATTTCATCCTCACCCAGTTTTTCACATTTCCTTTACAGTCACGTCTTTTGGCAGTTTTTCACATTTCCTTTACCATCACGTCTCCTGGATTGCATCAGTTGTTGCCACCAAACTGCAACACCGCTCTTGAGTTTGCAAGCCAGATATCTGACCATTATTTCTGGAGGAATATCCATTTAATCTAAAAATTTCTCGACTGATTGTTCCCAGTCGGGATAGTCTTCAAAGTGAAGGTGATCATAAAAAAAGGGTAAATCGGTTTTTACCTTGAAGTCGGCGTAGCTGCAATCATGATAAGTTTGAAGATGACAAGCATTCTCCATCACGATAGACTCCTCCCATGATTCTAAATCTGAGATGTAACTCTGTCAACGAGGGTTTCACTCCTCGTCGGATTCAAGAAACTCAGAGAGCACCGGTAAATAGACTCATCGGGGATGCCTCAGAGTGTCATTAACTGCAGTAGATTCATCCATCAAAGGTATAGTTACTGAAACGATCGGTGTGGTTGCCGGTGGGATGAATCCGCTGAGAGTTCGATACTCTCGCCTAACCTCACCAACAAATTGTTTAAAATCCATGAACGCTGATGAATCCATTTGGTAAGGGAAACTTGAGTTTCGTAAAGAATTTTTCAGCGCCGATCGTCGTCGCTGGCCCGTAGTTTCCCACCATCCGTTATAATGCCTGCTCTGATACCAATTAGAGCAGCTGCAAAACAAAGAGACGAGGAAACAGGGAATAGAGAACTAGGAGCTATACTTCCATAATCATTAACAAGTAAAAAAGGTGTTTACCAAAATGGTTACAGCAGATATATATGTTTAGGTGCCTCCACTATTAGCACTACCGTACATATGTATAATAAGAATAAAGCTAAACACAAATAAAGGTCTAATATTCAGTATTAATTAGTAATAATACTAGTAAGGAAGTATAAGATATAGCAGCTGCTGTTTATAAGAGGATTCACTGCATCAAATAGCAACATAGATTTGCATCATACTTCACAATTCCAAAGAATTTACATATCTAGCACATAAAGTTTGATATTTATATCTATAATATTTCAACCATGCAAGAGAGGATGTATTTCACTTCAAAGAAGATAGAAACAGTAGTATTTTTTATGTGATATCAACCATTCGTGTTTTATGCAAATATATAAGAATTATATGGCATGTATGTAAACGCACCTATAACTTTTGCATTCTAAATAACAGAATTATAACTGGATTTGAATAGGTTCAAGAAAATTACCAACACATGAATTACATATCCCACCCACACCAAATTCGATGAGCCTTTCATTTTCCTCTGTAATGCAATCCAGAAATAGCTCCAGAACATTAAGCTGCTCATTTAAGAATACTCAGGTTTTTTTATTTTAATTATAAATTAAGAAATGCAAATTATTTTTAAGAAAAATTTATGTAAGTACAGCACAATTCTTATGAATTTACATATCTACACCTAAAATTTAATATTTACATTTATTACATCTTGGTGCTATAAACCTGTTCATAAAACATGCATTTGACTTTTAAAAAGTTAGTAAAGTGGTATTTTTTATGTCATGTTAAATATTTGAGTGTTATGAATGTGAATATTCCAGTATAGGTGTTAGATATGTAAATACATAAGAATTATGTGGGTGGTAAGTATGTAAATGACCCTATTTTAAAAATCATACCTGTCGAAGAAAAGAATAGTTGTAAGGATCATATGCAAAGTTAGCCAAATGAGCTACAACCTTCTCTTTTGATTCTGCAACATAACAAAATTTATAAATCAGTCCACTTATCCACTCAGATTAATGCTAACATCCAAGATATTGAGGAAGCTGAAGAGCGAATCAAATGTACTTCCAATATATCAAAATAGAGCCATTTACATTCTTATACATGCACATATCTAACATTTGAACTTCACTTTTTACATTTGTAACACCCGATTCTTTCATATCATATAAAAAATCCTGCTATTTTAACTTTCAAAAAGTGAAATACATCTTTTCATGCATCGACAAGGTGGCTTTTGTGTAAAATAAGAACCATGTAAATTCATAACTGCGAAAAATTACTAGTTATTTCCTTCATAAATTTTAAAAGTATTTTGCTTTCAGGTAAATTTAACAAAATGGCAGTATAGGCTGTCACTGACATTCACCTCCACGTTAAAAAGTAATAAGCACACTTGTCAGGTTATTGCTAATAAAAACAAGAAATAAATAGCATAATACAAATCACACAATGAAATGTTAAATAATTGACCATAAGCATAAGTGTCCAAGAAGAAATTAAAAATAATGAAATCCATAAAATTTTCCGTAAACTATTGTATTACATGATGATTTATGATCTTCTATGTCATGAAATATATAAAAAAAGGAAGATTTACATTGATGCCACTTAATTCTTATGTATTTACATACATAACCCCCTGAGCTTTAATTTTTACATATATGCCAGCCTACCTATGCATGAAAAGATGTACTTGACATTTTAAAAGTTGAAATAGTGGCATTTTTTATGTGATGGGAAAGATTAGAGCGGTATAAATGTAAAAAGTAAAGTTTATATGTTATATATGTAAATACATAGGAATTGAGTGGAATATTCCCCCGCGCTTAGAAAACAAAAGATGATAAGGATAAGTGACGCAAAGAACCTTCATTTGTTTCAGTTTGAAATTGAGTAACAAGCTCCTGCAAAAAGAGTAAAAAACAGATAATAAGACTGAATAGTTCAATTTTTGAAACATGAAGAAGCATGAAGAGCACACCATACCGTGAGTCCATGAATCCGTTAATAACTCCTAAATTTTAAGGGGGAATTTACATACATAGCACACAATTCTTATGATTTGCAAATCTCATGCCTAAACTTTCTAATTTACACACATCACTGAAATCTTTAATATCACATCAAAACGATATTATTATCACTTTTTAAAAGTGAAATACATCTTTTCATACATATTATTAAAGCACTGAAGTGTTATGTATACAAATTTGAAATTTTAGGGGTGAAAAATGTAAATACATAAGAATTGTGTGCTACGTACGTAAATTCACAGATTTTAATTGAGACAAAATAGTAAAACTTAATAATTCTACAGCTTCAGAAAACATTTAAAATTCAACATTTACATACATTAATTTAACTTCATAACAATTTGTCAATTATTCAGAAGCCTAAAATACATGAGAATCTTTTCTCAACATTCTTATATCAAGCCAATTAGCCTTTAAAGATTTAACAGAGAAGTAAGTGCAATGAAAATAAAATAGTAAAAATTTACTGGTAAAAACATGTTAATTTTTAAAATTTATAGCTTCAGACCACCGTTTGAAGTACAACATAGAGACAAGGTCCATTTTCCCTCGCCGCTTTCGGTTCCTGCTGGCTCTACCCTTTTCTTTTCCCTCGCACACAACTCTACTCTAGGCATCAAAAACTTCATCAATTTATGTGCATGCTAGAATATTCATAACGATAGAGAGAAGTTTTATGTTCTTAGTGCTTAGCCATTTCTTTCAAAGATCAGGACACTCCATCAAATGATCTAAATTGATCACATTTGATCATAATATATGTTTGGGCATCTCAATGCTACATGTAAACTAAAAACTAGACGCCCTTGGATTCGATATATTCGTCCCATTAAAAAAAAAAAAAAAATCTGCAAATAAGCAAACAATATATGGAGAACATTTAACCCATCAAATGGCAGGAAATTTACATATTTCTAAGTGTTAAATTTAGGCCCAATTAGACTAAGATCAAGATATTTTTTATATTGTTGGGTTTATCTCACCAAACAACACTTTTTTTAACTAGAATATTATTGAAAATAAAGTTCAAATAATCTTTAGATCCAATACTTCAAAGTTTTTGGCCCAAGTACTTGTGTGCTTAGACATCTAAGAAAATCCACAATTTATCATTTGAATGTTTTGGCAACATATTAGATGTAGAGCAACAAAAACTAGAAGCATAAAAATACTTTCGGCTTTGAAAAAATTTGGATGTAAAATCACAAATTCGGTAGAATCCCCAAACTATAACCCTAACATGGATGCCAATCTAGACCTCACCTCAGGGCCATCACAAAAGCTATTCTATCTTGAGAGCGGTATCCTCAAAAAACTATATAATGTTATCGATTAAGCATGCCGACCACTCAAACCGACATTTTAACAACTTGACCCACCTTCAAAAAAGGTAATCATTTGAATCTATATCATTATTGAATATCACAATACATGTGAAATCTCAACACATAAGAAATATAATAAAGGCTATGAGGCCATAAAGATCACAATATATTATAGAGCCACTTACATGCATGCCGCCCAAATCATTTGTATTTACATAGCTAACGCCTAAACTTCCATAGCACATAAAAAATACCACCATTTTAACTCTTAAAAAGTGAAATACACCGTTTCATAATTAGGTGAGGTGGCATGTATGTAAAAATTTAAGTTTAGATGTTAGATACGTAAATACATAAGAATTGAGTGGAATGAATGTAAATCTTCCTATATTATCTTATTATAAAGAAGATTAAATTTGATCCTCTTTTGCGACGAATCTCAAGCAGTATCCATGATGCTTTTGGTTATTCAACTCCATATTCTCTCAAGTTAACTCTACCGCATTTCATTACTATTAAGCAATTATATCATCTATCACTCTCTCGATCATATTATACTTAGTTGATTACCTTTTCTTCGGAAAACCCTAAATAAATCATGTTCTCTAACACTCGTTACGAGTAAGATGAAGAACGACATTTTTCCATTTACACCAAGGACTACAAGTCCACAACCAACACTGCTAAATTCCTGCTCCAAACATTATGTATTATAATATATAACACCAAAATTTTGGCTTTTATATTTTGACCATCCAAATGTTTCATATCACATAAAAAATACCATTATTTTAAGTTTGAAAATGTGAAATGCGCCTTCTCATTGATATGTAAGAAGGCATATATGTAAACATTTAATTTTAGGTGTTAGATATGTAAATAGATAAGCATTGTTGTCAAAGGAACATTCAGGTAGCCCATGAAAAGGTCTATCAATAAAACTGGTTCATTCCTTCTACAAGCTTGCTTTCTCCACCATATTCTTACCTAAATCTTGCTGAGTTTTTCAATTTACATCCCCATAAATGATTGGGTACCAAAAATACAAATCAAAGTCGATCATCAACATGGAAAATATAGAGAAAAAGATGAATTATTTCTGAAGAGAAAGTAACCCATAAAAAAAAATAAATAAATAAAGGATTCATCAGGGCGGTTCGAGGAAAACCCTAAAATCAGGGAGTTTATTGGTATGAAATTATTACTTGAAGATATTGGGCTCTGGGAGTACCGTACTTTCCTGTCCGCTCCACCTGCCGCTGATCATTGGTAAACATTGCACGCAAAAACCCTAAAAACAGAAACCCTAGCAGTTGAAGGTGGCGGGACGTCGGCTCGGTTTTGTGGCGGGAGAGAGGAAGGGGAAGATGTTTTGTGCCTTCAATTTTATTTTATTTAAGTTAATTATCAGCTTAATCATAACAAAATAAATTTATATGTAATTACTTAATTATTTAAGTTCATTTAAATAATTTAATAAATAACTCTTTGATTATTAATTAATGAGTGCTAAATTATGATTAAGTATATTAGTTTAATAAAATTACTATTATTGATTAATTAGTTCAAAAAATATTTAATTATCAATTGTATGGTTACAAATAAATAATTTAATTTAATATGCTTAATAATTATATCATTATTATGCAATATTAAGTTTTTTAACTCCTAAAGACATTTATAAATCTTGTATTAGTTTGCTAAGTCGAAAATACATGTTTTTTATACACATTCTAACAATGGAAACTAATTTGTTGAATCAAACCCACCTATCGAAGTAGCCGAAACGAGCTCACTTGCCGAATTAGTTGAATTTTATCTCTTTATAGAGGTGACATAGCCCATTTATAGAGGGACAACTGTTATAGGTGGCAGCATAACCATCAATGATGCAAGTTCGTTCTTCTTTAAGAGCTCAACCTGAAATCCGCGTCATGGTATTTTCATCAGGACAGTTATTGTAATGCTCATGAAAATTTTAATAAGCAGCTACATAAAAGGGTCCAATTGCTCTAGTCTTAATTTCAAGTGTATTGTTCATTAACGAGTGTTATTTGCCAAATTTCATCATAATGAAACCAATAATTACAATAATACTCTATTGATTGACATGTGATCCAATATTTGTATATCTTACCCCATGTTTCATGTATAAACTACACGGTTTCCTCTTATATGTTGCAATATATTTGATGAAAAATGCATTTCTTTGCAAATTTATCCATTTGAGATTGAATGCAAGTCATTCATGATTACTCCCTTCTGAATATGAATGAGATGACTAATCTAAGGTAACATATGAAGCCAAACTCCTCATTTATTGTATTACATGATATCTTATACCTGAAAGATTTACATACATACCCCTTAACTTTTATGTATTTACATATACCACCTAAACTTCAATTCTTACGTTTATGCCAACTTACCTATGCATGAAAACGAGCATTTCATTCTTTTAGGTTAAAATAGTGGTATTTTTTATGTGATAATGAAATAATTGGGCGGTACATATAAAAGTAGTTTAGTTGTTAGAGATGTAAATATATAGGACTTGGGTGGTATGTATGTAAATGCCACTCTATATTTTATGACTTTATAAATATGTAAATTTTATGCCTTATATGTCTACTTATATGTATTTTTACATGTCAATAACATGCAAATTTTTTTTCTTCGTAGTTTTACATGTTTAAGACAACTTTCTATCTGTCTTACATTTCAGGCTGTCACTACAGTATTTGGGTACTACTTTCGCGTTGATTTCTAAAAAATTATGATTTATTAAAATGTATTAGAAAGCTTCGATCAAAAAATTATTTTTTAAAATATATATTTATAATTATCATCAAACACCGTAATTAAAAAAAAATAAAAAATTAGAATTGTGAGGAACCTTCATCTAGCAGGTTGACTTTTTAAAAACTATTTTAGTTGAATCAAAGAATGCGACCTGTGAAAAAAGTCAACACAAAAAAAGAAGTCAAACTACCAAAAGAAAATATTTTATAATTTACATAACACCGTCGACATCTAGAATAAAAATTTGGTCAATTGCAGTCAGTCTTAATTCTGATTCGAATGCAAATAATTGTTCACTTAAGCAAAATGAATAATTGCAAGAAAAACCCTGTTTATTAAAATAGTAATTGTTATTTTACATTTTAAGAACCAGTTGAGTAGGGCTGTCAAAATCACTCGTTGTTCGCGAACAGCTAGTGTTTGGCTCGTTCGCTAAGTTAACGAGCCGTTATTGGCTCTTGTTGTTCGTGTTCAGCTCGTTTTGACTCAAAATACTACTAATCAATTATATATATATAACTACAAGGCTGCAAAGATTTATAATCAATTAAAAGTATTAGTTAAGAAAACAGAATGAAAATTATTAAATTAGATTCAAATGATGTTTTAAATCTTGCCGCAATCATTAACATCTTATGACAACATGATTAGGGTTGTTAAAACGGATCTTTGTTCGTGAACGGCTCGTGTTCGGCTCGCTAAGCAAACGAGCCGAACACAAACACACTTTTTGAGGCTTAGTTCCTGTTTGGCTCTTTTACACCCCAACAATTGAGTTGCCTCAACATATTGTTTCCCCCTTGAGATTGATGCATTTGGCGATATTAAGTATGTTCAACTTTCCCTAAAAAAGTTTGGGAAATTTACATATATACCACTATTCTTATGTATATACAGATTAAACATTAAGAGTCTGTTTGGGGCAGTTGTAGCTTATTGAATAATATGCTGATAAGCTGATTAAAAATAATATGTCGGTAAGCTAGGTGCGGTGCGAAAACACTGCTTTCAGTGTTTTCAAAACGCAATTTACCAAAACAGGTTAAAACAGGTTAAATGCGTTTTCAAAACGTCACCGCACCAAATAAGCTATACACATCCAACACTAAATTTTACTTGTTACATTTATACCACCCAAAGTGAAATGCACGTTTTATAGAGAAAATGGTTTAAATTCTTCAATTGAATTAGAAAGCTTAATGGGAAGGTTTATTTGGGACTATTACAATTATTATTAAAATTAACTGTGAACTATTGTGGCAAAATTTTTTTTTTAATATTATTAAGAGTATTTTTTTATCATTTTAGAAGAAAAGTTGAATATAATATATGTTTTTTATTCTTATTTTTTATTTTATGTTGAATCCAAAGTGTCCAACATCATCTAATATCATTGAAAAGTTATAACTTAATCTTCTTAATTTTTTTTTGTGTAAGGTTTAATGAAATAGATAATGATAACTTTCAATATTATGTCTCCCATTGAATGTATGAACATTATTTTAAATCTCATAATACTCATGTGGGGTTTGTCTGTAACCATAATATGACCAATTTTGTGGAAGGTGTCATGGGCGATGGAAGGCACCATGCACTTGGGCTTGAGGAATATTTTGGCCAGCCCAATGTGGCCGACTAGCTGGAGGTACCCGGCTTGGGTGACCTGCACCCTGGCTGGCCCGACGAGTGCATGGTTGGCGGCACACTCCGACAACAGTGTTTCCTTTGGCTCGATGAAAACGGTAACATTTTCAGGCTATACAATTCTTTAATTTACCTACACACTACCAAATTCCCATGTATTCTAACGCCTAAACTTTACATTTTACGTTCATGCCATCTAAAATTTTTCATATCACATCAAAATATGATTATATTAAATTTGAAACTGCAAAATACACATTTTCGTATATAAAGAAGGTGGCAAATGTGTAAAAATTGAATTTTAGGTGTTATATATGCAAATAAATAGGAATTAAATGGTATGTTAGTAAATAAAGAATTTGTATATATCAAAATTCAATAGATAAGGGGTCAAGTGGGACATAAAAGGACATGTAAAATATCTTGGACTATTATTAAGAAGATTAAAATATTCATAATTTCTCTCTCTGGATCCTCTCTCTTTATCTATATCATTGTCATTTTTTCTAGCTAACATACAACTAATAAGAACAAAATATGTTCAACTAATCCATTTGTATGAAGATAAGTTGTTGGGTTGGTTTCATCATATAAGCAATAATGATTGCATCATTCAATCCCCCTTTAATTAGTGAACACTCCAATAACATACAAATAAAATAATCAATAAAAAAATAATATTTATTCTTATATTGTTGAATCTTGATTTGCTCGTGAATCAAACCCCAAGGGTTCGAACGTTAAAATGAGAGAGAGGCAGAGAGGGATGAACTGTACATCTTTTCTATTAGAATTTATTCATAAAATGATCTCTTTGTTTATGAGTGAGATGGTGCAATATGTGATATTACATTTTTGTCAATGTCTTAATGAAGGCTATACAAAATATTTTAGATATTTTACATGTAAGAGCTTATTGCTTGGCTGATCATATGACTTGGTCGGTTGTGCTTAGATAATTAGATAATCAATTGTATTAAAAACGGTTTCCATAATTGTTCACTCCTTATTGTAATTGTACAAAATACGTCTCTATAAATAACAGACAAAAATATGAACAAAAAGACTTTTACTAAATCTCTATATAAAAAACTCGTGGCTTGCTCTACTATCTTTCTCTCTTCCCTCCTTTTTTCAATTCTAAACTCTCAGGGCTTGTTCACAATGGATAATTAAGGATTCAACAACACTTTTCTTGCTTTCAAATTGTTTGACCATTTATCGATCAGCTCCTTCCATGCTCTCAATCGTTGTCCGATTTTTCACCCCCCTGTCGGCTGGTTTTTTCCTAAGGGATACCTGACTTGATTGACTCAATCTCTACTAGTCTCTAGTCCTCTTTTCCTGTCCAACTATGATATAACATTGTTCCGACTTTTTTGGCTCATCTTCCCTTTGGGTCAAACGCTCGATTAATACCTAAGTTCTGATCTATCCGTCTTTTGGGTTGGTTGACCTTGATCGGTGATTTGATCGGAACCAGATATCTCGATTCATTCTAATTAATAACATTGGAATATATATATAGACCAAAGATAGAGACAACATGACTGATTACATAGCCCAAAATTGTTTTAATAATACATTACTAATCGTCCTTTGATGGTGTTAATGAAAGGGACAATGGGGATACATATGTATATAATAGAAATTTACATACATGTCACATATGGCCCATCTAATCTTCAATTTATATATATAATCTAATGTCTGAAAAATTAAGCTGCACTTCATTTTTACAAATATTAAAAAAAAAAGTAAAATTTGAATATTAGATATGCAAATGTATAAAAGTTGGGTGGTATGTATGTAAAAGCTCTTTATTATTTAATGACTCTATCAAAACATAATTATAGATTTCTGAAATGTCATAATCAAAGATGAAAGGACGCAGACGCAGTCATGCAGATCTTCATTTGCTCGTCGATTTTATTTAATTAATTCAACCTGCTTCTATTTTTTTGGATCAATTAATCAACGTAAGAGTTGAAATACTTCCACGTTAAATATATATTAAGGTTAAGAAAATTATATATATATATATATATTATATTAATAAATTAAATAATAGACTAAACTAATATCATACGATTAATATCCTTAAATTTAGCTTTTTTTTATAATCTTTTCAATTATTGTGAATTATTTATTCTTAAATTTAGTGATCAAAATAAAACAATATGAGCACAAATAGCTACAAAATAATCATAAATAATTTACTTTTAAACTAATTTTAAATAAAACAGAAATAAATTAATCATATATATATATATATATATAAATATATAATTTAAAATTTTAAACATGACATTATTAAAATATGCAATGAGAAATGTATGTTAAATAATGCACACTCAATGCACGTGCTTTCTTTAATTATTAGAGCATTTGTTAGTTTTTAATTATTTCAAATTTATACTGAAATAAATGCCTCACCTAACCTAAAATCAGTCTAGCTTCTTATAAAAGTTCATGAATCTAAAATGTTTCAAGAACTCTAACAGAATTAAACCATGCAAACTTAAATTTAATCAAGTGTCATTTCATGAATGTTGGTTAAAAAAAAGGAAGATTTACATATACACCCTTCAATTCTTATGTATTTACACATAAAACACCTAAAGTTCAATTTTTACATACATATACATATATTGTATACATTTCTTTATATATATATACATATCTTTATATATATATATATATATACATACATATATAAAGATAAAGATATTTTATTAAATATTTAGTATAGATTTCTTTTTTATTATTACTTTTTTGGTAGCTGAGAATTATTGATAGAGGAAGGAATATTCCTCTCCTTAAGTGCAACCTAGCTTACTATGGAAAATACATGAGAATATAATTGGAATACATATATATATATATATATATATGCACTTATTAAATGTATATATATTCATATTATATTAAATTAATGCTTTGCAAAAAAAACAAAAACTGACCTGCTGAAATATCCTCCAATGTACAACAGCCTCATTTGCCATTGTTGCTGCAACCACAACCAAGAAGAGGAAGAATTGCAGTCACAGCCCCATAAGGTGCTAATGGTGTAAAAGCAAGACGACCAATGACAAGAAAATAAAAATTTGCAGCTCTTTTGAATTGTTCAAACAAAGACTTTGATAAAAATGTAGCCAGATTATAGTTTGTAGTTGACACATAGTTCAATCCATAGTTCAGATTATTAGCCTCCAAACAATCTGGATCATTTGCAAAAACAACCCTTTGAAAATTCCGGCGGTCCGATCTGAGATTGCTCATCCTGAAGAGAGAAGATTTTTCACAATTAAAGCTGAAAGCCTTGCTGAAATGAATTTTCCTCCTCCTTCCACAAGCCATCTACTTCTTCTCTCTTCTATCACCAATCTCTCAACTAACTCAGCTGACCTATATATTAGGAAACCGCCATCTACTTCTTCTCTCTTCTATCACCAATCTCTAACTCAGCTGACCTATATATTAGGAAGCACTAAATGATTCTAATTTCACTCTCTAACTCCTCTCTCTTCATCTTTCTCGCCTTTTCAGCAAATCTCAAACTCAAATCAGTCAAGTTGCAACCTTTCAGGGGTGATTGGCTGCAGGCAGGATTTAGCGTTTGCAGGATTTAGTAAATACAGATTTCTTAAATCCAACTCCTTGGATTTATTAAATCTGGACTTGAATTTATTAAATCCAGATTTAAGAGGAATCAAATCTGAAATTTTATAAATCCGGGGAGCTTGCATTGTTTTTTTTTTATGTTTGATTGGATTTCATAAATCCGGACGATATATTTTGTTAATAGGCGCCACGAAACACCCCCTTCTAAACAATTAAAAAGCTCTGCATAGGAAAATCGACCTTTTTCGCCAAATCTGAAGCTCAAAACCTCAAAGTTCCAATCTTTTTCATCAAATGTCAAATTCAAGGCAGAAAAAACATCACATCACATAATTTTTAAATGTAAAAAAAAATAGGGGTTAGATAAGTAAAAGCATAGGAATTGGGCGAGATGTTTGTAAGTGCCCAAAATAATAATTCATTCACATGTAGTATCTTACCTCTTCAAGAAAGGGATTGCTCATGACTCCTTTCTCAAGTCATTCAACTTTCATTTTTTTATTTATTTTGGCAGCCAAGGATTAATGATAGAAGAAAAAATATTCCTCTCCTTAAGTCTAAAGAATAATATAAGGCTTCCAAATTTATATAAGGCTTGTGGGGCTTTTTATGTGCATGAATCTCTCTCTCTCTCTCTCTCTATATATATATATATATATATATATGATGTCCTCATGTTTTTTTTTCAAATTATACACGATTAAAAACATTTTCATGAGCACGATTGACTCAATCTAATCTAAATTTGACATAGATTTTGATATTTAGTTTAATCATTTTTATATTATTATTCCTCCAATATTATTTATCAAAATATTATTGGTGTGACATTTTTATGATATAAGCGATCATAAATCAAACTAAGTTTTTGGCCGTATAATGAAAAATATAAGAATCGGATTGTGACCCGAATTCCATGATGGTCTTTTTCAAGGGCTCTTATTGTCAAGTGAGTGGAGATCTCCATTAGCTATGAATCATAATTGGGTTTCTAAGCTCAAGTGGAATCCTAAATAAATTTGAGAGATTTGAAAACTACATGCATAAATGTTGCATCATATATATGTAAGTGGCTTGTAATAATATTCGCTATAAATGTTATAATGTATAAAGCAAAGCACAAAGAAAAAACTCCAGGAAGTTAAATCCAAAAATCTTCCTCTTCCGTTAGGTTTTTAACCTAGATTCGGATTTATTAAATCCAATTATCATGTCGAATTAAAGGATTTAGCTTAGGAAGAACACCAGAGGAGTGGATTTAGCCTAACACGATAAATATTTAATGAATTTAACCTTAAATTGAGCCAAACATAAATTTGCATTTGGATTTAGTACATCCTATTTAACTTAAATTCTAGTTGAAGCCAAACACCCCCGGAATATTTAGAGATATTTGATGAATATGAAAATTATTAGATTTATTTAAAAATAAACATTCCTAGATGAATAAATTGATTTTCTTAACTCCACAATTTGAGAATCATTCAATAGAATTGATTAGATACCATGTGACTTTTTTTCAAAGTTTTAATATTCCTAGATGTATATTTTCTAAATTTATGTGAGTTCAAACCTTATGCTACATTCCAATTTGGAAGTATTTGGTTGCTCATGAATATTTTTTACCTCATTTTATCCATAAAAAAAAAAAGAAATAAACATTTTGGGAGGATTTTATGATATATAAAGTAAAGATTGTTTTCTAATTATACTCAAAACAAATAATAAATTTAACAAATTTATGATTTTTTAAGACAATCCAAAAAAAAATATTTTTAAAAGATTTACATATATACCGCTTGATTTTTATGAATTTACATGTTTAACGCCTCAAAAATGATATTTTCAATGTGAAATGAAAATTTTGAGTGGTATAAATATATAAAAATAAAGTTTAGGTGTTAGATATATAAATACATAGAAAATTGGTGGTGGTTACGGAGATGACCCAATATATTTTATTTGGGACCAGAAGGATAAGAGTAATCTAGAAAAAAAATAAAACGACAAAATTTAAATTTGTTTTTTGGAACTATAAATTTTACAATTTGCTTTCACGTTTAAATTACTAGTCTTCAGTAGGTGGAGGTGGGCTAACGTTAAGTCGCTACGTGGTAACCTATCATTGTATTCCTATAATGCCCTCCCCAAAAGCGAACAATCATTGGAATTGGTCAGGGCAGATAAGTCTTTTCAGTCCTTGCATAAACAAAAACGAAAAATATGAACGCCCGAAAGCGATCAGACAGTGCGGGGTCCACAACTGGACGTGTTAAATTGGTCGTTGGATGATAATGAATATAATATATATATATATATATATATATCTATATATATGTGTGTGTGTGTGTTTACAATAAATACATAAATTATTAAAAACACCAAACAGCGATTAATTTAAGTAATTAATAATTGATATATCACAAATTGCAAAAAAAAAATATCATTTTATGCAAATTATGAACATGCACTAATAATGATATATAGGAATAGAACACTTTCATATCTCATTTTTCATGTAAATAGATAGAACTTGGTGGTATGTATGTAAATGCTACCATTTCCCCTCCGTCCCGATGAATCAACCAGCTGCCACATTTTACTAAATCCATGTTACCGCAGTTTCTCTCTCCCGATTTGATTCTTTGTTTCAAGGAGACTTTTCTTGAGAGGAGAAGGGTGGCAAAGAAAGATGGATAGAGAGAGAAAATAGAGATAGAAGAGAAGTAAAACCAGACCTCTCGGAAGCTGTCAATGGCAACCGGATGTAAAACGTTATGTTTCCCGCCAGTTTCGCCCAGCATAATTCTGACCCTCTAGAAACTATCCTTGTTTCTCCATTTCTAATAAAGCTCTCCTTTTTTTTTCTTTCTTTAATCCCCAATCAAAATTATTTGTCTAATTTCTCATATTCCGCGTATTTCAAGGGGTCTCCCTGTGAAATTTCAATGGAATTATTGCATAAAAACTTCTCCTTTCCTAAGTCAATGGAGTTCGATTTCTATGTTTGAATGTTCAACGGGTAGCCGCCATCTCTTCTGAGGGTTTCAAAGACACCAACTCATTCTCTTCTTCTCCCAGCTTTTATAGCGGCTGGAGAGATCGAGAGATGTGAAGTTGTGGAATTTAGCTTTCTTTCTCTCTCTCCCTCTCTCCCTCTCTGTGCTGATCTTTTCTAATTTTTTATGTCTTCTGATGTTTTGTTTGGAGGAAGAAGACGATTAGGGTTGTTTTTTCTGTTCTGAAATTGAGATTTGGCGAAAAGGATTGGGAATTTGAGGTTTTGAGCTTAAGATTTGTTGAAAAAGGTTATTTTTTCTGTACAGAGCTTTTGAATTGTTGATAAAGTTTGCAACTTTACCGTTTTGGGTTTGGGATTTGCTGAAAAGACGAGAAAGAGGAAGAAAGAGACAGATAGGTCAGCTGAGGTTTTTGAGGGATTGGTGAGAGAAGAGAGGAGAAAGAGATGGCTGGTGGAAGGAGGAGGAGGATTCATCTGAGCAGGTTTTTCAGCTTTAATTGTGGAAAATCATCTCTTCAGGATGAGCAATCTCCGATTGGAGGTCCGGGATTTTCGAGGATGGTTTGTTTTTGCAAATGATCCAGATTTTTGCAAATGATCCAGATTGTTTGGAGGCTAATAATCTGAACTATGGATTGAATTATGTGTCAACCACAAAGTATAATCTGGCTACATTTTTACCAAAGTCTTTGTTTGAGCAATTCAGAAGAGTTGCAAATTTTTATTTTCTTGTTACTGGTTGTCTTGCTTTTACACCATTAGCACCTTATGGGGCAGTGAGTGCAATTCTTCCTCTTATTGTGGTGATTGGAGCAACTATGGCAAAGGAGGCTGTTGAGGATTGGAGGAGATTTCAGCAGGTTAGTCATTTTATGCAAAGTATTAATTGAAATATTTAATAGGACTGCTTTTTTCTTTACATAAGGCATCATTCATGAAATTTTATGAGGTAAATTTTAAACTTATAACTCTTGAGTTTGCCAAAGATATTAGCAAAGTAAGACCGAAGTAAGAGAGTTCCTTCAAGGGAAGAAAATGGATTCCAAACTTTTTTTTTTTTAAATCCTATTTTGGCTCAAGCCATGTTTATCGACCATGAATGCGTATATTTCAAATAGTTGGCTTATCCTGATTATCTATTTAATTATATGTTATTCTCTTCATAGAAAGTGTTCAATTATAGTGTTACTTTTTCATGAATCTGTTCAAAGAATATAGGCTTGGTTTGAAGCCATTTGTATTTTAGCTGTTCAAATTTATTTTCCAGATAATGGTGCTCCAAATGGAACTGCTTCTCCTCTAAGAAATTAATAAATTACTTTTCTGTTTCAAAATCTGATTTGTTTTGTTTTCTGAGATCAAATTTCTCAGAATTTTGATTTCTCTGTTTAATTATACTTTTCAATTCTACCCCCAATAAATTTTCTTTCTTCCAGGACACTGAGGTGAACAACCGAAGAGTTAAAGTTCATAGTCGAGACGGAACTTTCGAGCAAACAGAATGGAAGAAATTGAGGGTAGGAGACATAGTAAAGGTTGAAAAAGATGAATTCTTCCCTGCTGATATAATCCTGCTTTCTTCAAACTACGAAGAAGCGATTTGTTATGTGGAAACCATGAATCTTGATGGAGAAACAAATTTAAAAATGAAACAAGCTCTGGAAAGAACTTCAAATTTGAATGATGATTCCAATTTTCAAAACTTTAAAGCTAAAATAAGATGCGAAGATCCGAACGCTAACCTCTATACGTTTGTGGGAAGCATGGAATACCAAGACCAGCAACACTCCCTCTCGCCTCAACAGCTTCTTCTTCGTGACTCAAAGCTTCGGAACACAGATTTCATCTACGGCATAGTGATATTCACCGGCCATGACACGAAAGTGATGCAAAATGCCACCGATCCTCCGTCTAAAAGAAGCAAAATTGAAAGAAAAATGGATAAACTTATATACCTTTTATTGCTCTTCTTGGTCATAATTGCGGGCATTGGATCCATCTTCTTCGGCATCAAAACCCATGAAGATTTGAACAATGGGAAGATGAAACGATGGTATCTCCGACCGGATAACACCAAAGTTTTCTACGATCCAAAAAGATCAGCTCTTGCAGCCATTTTGCATTTTCTAACAGCACTGATGCTTTACAGTTACTTCATTCCAATATCTTTATATGTATCTATAGAAATAGTAAAAGTTTTGCAGACTATTTTTATAAACCAAGACATCAAAATGTATCACGAGGAATCGGATAAGCCGGCATATGCTCGTACCTCAAATCTGACAGAGGAATTAGGCCAAGTTGACACCATTCTTTCTGATAAAACAGGAACTTTAACAATGAATTCAATGGAGTTCATCAAATGCAGTATTGCTGGTACTGCTTATGGTCACGGAATCACCGAAGTAGAGAGAGCGATGGCGAAAAGACGGGGCTTGGATTTGATTTCTGAAGAAGAAAACGAAGAAGATGGTTTGGTTAACAAACCTGCAATAAAAGGATTCAACTTTATAGATGGAAGAGTTATGAATGGAAATTGGGTGAATGAGCCTTATTCTGATGTTATACAGAAGTTTTTTAGACTGTTGGCGTTGTGCCATACTGCCATACCTGAAGTCGACGAAGCTTCAGGGCGGATAACTTATGAAGCTGAGTCGCCGGATGAGGCTGCCTTTGTTATTGCAGCAAGAGAGCTTGGATTTAAGTTTTACGAGAGAACCCAAACAGCCATTTCTTTGTATGAGTTGGATCCTTTGACAGGAAATACTGTCGAAAGGTTAGTAAGTTTATGATAATTCTCAAAACTTATCTGATTTTTATCCTTTTAGATGTTGTTAGATATGTAAACTTATGATTCTGTTTTATATTCTGGTTTCAGGTCATATAAGCTTCTGAACATATTAGAATTCAGCAGTGCAAGAAAAAGGATGTCTGTGATTGTTCAAAGTCCAGAAGGAAAGCTGCTACTTCTCAGTAAAGGAGCTGACAGGTGTGTTATGAAAAAAATAAAAACACATTTTTCCTATAGTTTATGATTTATAAAGTGTTCTAAGTTTTATTAAATAGTGTAATGTTTGAAAAACTTTGAAGTGAGGTGTGTGATACAGAAACTAAAGAGAAATTACACACAAACACGCATATTTCTTTTACTTTATGATTTATAAGGTGTTCTAAGTTTTTTTCTTATTTTCTTTTTTGTTTTAATCATAAACAATGTCATGTTTGAAAAACTTTCAAGTAAGGTATGTGATGCAAAAACTAAAGAGAGAAATTACACACAAAAACACGTTTTTCTCATAATTCATGATTTATGAAATGTTATAAGTTTTATGTTTTATTTTTAAACTTTTACAGTGTAAAGTTTGAAAAACTTTCATGTCAAGTGTGTGATGCAAAAACAAAAGAGAGATTACACACAAAAACACATTTTATTGTTATGATTTATGAGAAGTTCTTAGTTTTATTTTTCGTTTAAACATAAACAGCGTTATGTTTGAGAAACTTTCAAGTGAGGGCAGAGAGTTTGAAGAAAAAACAAAGGAGCATATTAACGAGTATGCAGATGCTGGTTTAAGAACTTTGGTTCTCGCTTACCGCGAGCTTGATGAAGCGGAATATGAAGAATTCGAGAAGGAATTTGCAGAGGCGAAGGCTTCTGTTAGTGCTGACAGGGATGAAAAAATTGATGCAGCTATCGAAAAGATCGAGAAAGATTTGATTCTTCTCGGCGCCACTGCTGTTGAAGACAAGCTGCAAAATGGGGTGAGTGGTGCAAAATTTCATAATTTTCGATGAATTCTCCATAAAATAAAGTAAATATGCACACAGCACACAAATCTTATTTATTTACGTATTTCACAACTATCTTTCATCTTTACACACATAGCACTTATATCTTTAATATCATATAAAAATAGCACTATTATCACTTTTTAAAAGTGAAATACACATCTTCATGCATAGATTTAAAAACCAAAATGCGATGCATGTAAATATAAAAGTTTAGGCGTGAGAGAAGTAAATACTTAAGAATTATGCACAACATATTTACACTCATAGCACACAATTCTTATTTATTTACATATCACACACCCAAACTTTCATATTTACATATATAGCACTTAAATCCTTAATATTACATAAAAAATAACACTATCTTCTTAGAAGCGAAACACCTTTTAGTGCATAGGTTTAAAACACCAAAGAGCTATGTATGTAAATAAGAAAGTTTACGTGAGAAATATGTTAATACATAAAAATTGTGTGTTACATACATAAATTTCTCATAAACAACTCACCTTCCGGTACAGGTGCCTGAGTGCATTGACAAGCTAGCTCAGGCTGGAATCAAAATATGGGTTCTTACAGGTGACAAGATGGAGACTGCTATAAACATAGGGTATATCATGGGATTCAAACTCTTAAAATAAGCCATTTGTGCATTGTTTCTCATCCCACTGACTTCGTTTGTTTATGCAGTTTTGCGAGCAGCTTATTGAGACAAGGAATGAAGCAGATTATCGTCACACTCGAGACACCTGATTTGATTTTGTTGGAGAAAGAAGGGAACAAAGATGCTGTTGCCAAGGTAGAGGCTTTTTTTTTAGTATGCGGCATTTATGTATTTACATATCTGACACATAAACATTCATATTTACCTGCGTTCTTCTTAAATCTTCAACATCACATAAAAAAAAATATAGCTTTCACTAACTTTCACATAAAAAATATAGCTTTCACTAACTTTTTAAAAGTGAAATGCACATTTTCATGCATAGTTTTACGACTCCAAAGTGTTACGAATGTAAATATCAAACTTTGGGTGTTATATTTGTAAATACATAAGAATTGTGTGGTATGTATCTAAATTTCTCTTTTTGTAGGGGCATTTACATGCATAACACAAGTTCTTTATGCATTTACATTTCTAGCACCTAAACATTCATATTTGCATGCACACCACTTAAAATTTGAAGATCACATAAAAAAATACCACCATCATTGAATTTTTAAAAGTGGAATACAGCTTTTCATGCACGTGTTTATGACATCAAGGTGTTATAAATGTAAATGTCAAACTTTAGATGCTAGATATGTAAATAGATAAGAATTGTGTGCTATTTATGTAAATTTCCCTTTTAGTTGGAGCACTTACATACATACCACAAATTTTATTTTACATCTATGACATCTAAACATTCATATCTACATGCATATAGCTTAAAACTTCGACATCATATCAAAATACCACCATCATTTTCTTTCTAAACGTGAAATACAACTTTTTATGCATAGGTGCATAGATTTATGACACCAAAGTATTGTAAATATAAATATCAACTTTGGGTATTGGATGTATAACTACATAAGAATTATGTGGTATGCATATAAATTTCCATTTTTATATATATCCATATGCATAACAATGACATATATTAAGAGCTATAAAGTCGTATGGCTTATGGAAAATTATGTTATCTGATGAAATAATGTGGTTAGTAACTTGGTTGGTATGAATAAATTATTGCTGTTCCAGCGCTCAGTTTTTAAATGTAGCGGTTTGTTGACTGGATTATCATGACTTTCAAACAACTAGTTTTTATTACTTTTTCTTTTTTTAAATGAATCCGAAAATGGGAATAATATTCTGCTTGTTTTTTTTTTAATTTGAATATTTAATTTGCTTTATGCACATTTTATCTTAGATAAAATATATGAGATATGTTTTTTTTAAATGGCCTTTACCCAAATACAAAATTACTTTCTCTGAAATGATTTACTGCAAAGTTGCATAAATCTAACTCAACAGTTGATCAGGACTACCAAATCTGACTATGAACATAGTATTCTTTTACATTGTACCGGATGAAATACTTTCAATTTGAATTTTGTTTATCAGTGCCAAATAATCTAAATAATGAGTTTCATGAAAAGAACATTTTATACATTAGCACAATTCATTCTTCTGGTTTTCCTATTTCTATCTATTTTCTGAACTGAACATGAGCAGAATGTTTTTTGGGGCATTTACATAAATACCACACAATTCTTATGTATTAACATAGCTAACACCTAAACATTTGCATACCACTCAAATCTTTAACGTCACATCAACAATAGCACCATTGCTATCTTTTTTAAAAATGAAAGATATTTTTCGTTATGCATAAGTTTATAACAGCAAGATCTTATGAATGTAGAAATCAAACTTTGGATGTTATGTAAAACATAAGAATTGTGTATGCATGTACTTTTTTTTCCATTTATCAGCAATCTAAATTTTTCGTTAAACTTCAGGCTTCAAAGGAAAGCATTACCCGCCAAATCAGCGATGGAAATAACCTTCTAAGTTCATCGAGTTCCGAATCATTCGCTCTAATCATTGATGGAAAATCACTTACTTATGCTTTGGAAGATGATCTCAAGAATCTCTTCTTACAGTTGGCTATCAGGTGTGCATCAGTTATATGTTGCCGCTCTTCGCCCAAGCAGAAGGCCCTCGTAAGTCTGTTGTTTCTCGTGTCGTACTTCTTTCATCCTCATGTTTTTGAAAACCTTTTTGTCATAATAAACAAAAAAAACTATCCAGGTTACAAGATTGGTGAAAACAAACACAAAAAGAGTGACCTTAGGGGTTGGTGATGGCGCCAATGATGTCGGCATGTTACAAGAAGCAGACATTGGAATTGGTATAAGCGGAGCCGAAGGAATGCAGGTTGAGAAAACTTGTCATGTCATTTACCATCTTTTCTATTGAATTTTATATACATACTAACTAATGCCTATTCTTTTACATGTTTAACATATAAGCTTTACCTTGTATATTTATTTCACGAAAATCTTTCATGTCACATAAAAAATATCATTTTTTTTTACTTTTAAAAAGTGAAATACACATTTTAATGCTTGGATAAGATGGCATGTGTAAAAATTGAAATTTATGTGTTAGATATGTATAGGAATTGAATGGCGTGTATATGAATTTTCATATATCGGGCAGTTTGCATTTTTACCATCAAAATCTTTCAAATAATGAAA